ACTTCATAGTTCCCGAGAATTAAAAAAAAATCCACTTGATCAACTTAATTCTTTTTCTTTTATCTTCCCTCCCTCACTGCCCTGCCCTTCCCTTCAACCCTCTTTTCCAAGCTGTTCCGCTTTGCAATATGTTACTGGTAATGAGTTGCAGAATAATGCAATCTTAACTTGTTTTCTCCTTAAGTGTTTGAGTTCAAAACTCCTGTATCTAAAGAAATACGGTTGGGGTCATTAATAAAGAAAATCTTTCTATCTTATCTGAGAATTTGCTGGATTTCTGGACTATGAGTCCAAGATTGAGAGGAGGATTAAAGTGTTGTGTGGTTTATTCCGGTATCACAAATAATATCTACTATTTCCCAAAACATACCCCACCAGGGGTGGTGGTTTGGGACGTTGATGGGTGTTAGGTGCAGGTCTGACACCAACAAACTGGTGAGTTAGAACTAGGAGAATTTTAGAGGTACCTACAAAGGTCTGAGAGCTGCCAAATGTTTTGTTTTCTTTATTTGAAAGAGAAATATCCTAATGATTTCTACCTGATTTTGTTCATGTACATTTGAAAAGCAAAGTTCTACAGAGATGTTCCATTCATTGATTCACTCTTTAAATGGCTGCAAGTGCTGGAGCTGGGCTGGTCCAAAGCCAAGAGCCAGGAGCTTCTTCTGGGTCTCCTGCATGTTTTCAAGGGCCCAAGCGGTGAGGCCATCTTCCACTGCTTTCCCAATGCATTAGCAGGGGACTGGATCAAAAGTGAAGCAGCTGGAACATAAACCAGCACCCATCTGGGCTGCCAATATTTTTGCCAGCAATACCACAGCACCCACCTCTGCCTTCCTACTTTTACTATTTTCTCTACCCAAGGCAGTGTGTTTCAGAGTGGTTCAAGAATCAGTAATGCACTACTAGGATGCTGTATGGGCACCAGTTCATGTCTCTGCTGCTCCATTTCCCATCTTGCTCCCTGCTTGTGGCCTGGCAAGACAGTGGAAAAGGTCCCAAAGCCTTGGGACCCTGCACCCACGTGGGAGATCTGGAAGAAACTCCGGGCTTCAGATTGGCTCAGCTCCAGCCATCACAGCCACTTGGGGGATGAACCAGTGGACAGAGGATCCTTCTATTTTTATCTCCTTTTCTCTGTAAACCCGCCTTTCCAATAAAAGTAAATAAAATTTTTTTAAGGGGGAGGGCTCCCAGAGCGCTCAGGGTGCTGATTTCTCATCACCCAGATGGAGTGCCTGGAAGGAGAGCCAGGCTTAACCAACATCAGGAAGGTAGAGGTTCTGTAAGCTTGAGCCCACTTGAGTCTATGAGGATAATTTTGACTAGAAGGATTTTTTGATTAGAAGGGTAATTTTGACTAGAAGGATTTTTGGCTTGTTGATGACATCAAAATACAACTCCTTCATAAGCTGAAACACTACACTATTGGCCACGGTGGGAAATGTTTGTGAAAAGCATTGTAAGTTACTAAACCAAAATTGCTGAGAGAACACATCATTAGCAAGGAAAGGGCAGTAAGTACTAGGTGTGGTCCACACTAAATCCTAATGGGGAACCTGATTCCAGACCCCCAACGGCTGACAGGAACTGCTACTCACATACTCTCCTTCCTCACCTGTTCCGGGACACACCTGGCCATACCATGGGTCCAGTCACAAAGACCCTCACTCTTCTCCCCAGTCTAGGTGTGTGGCACTGGGAGGGTGTCAAGCACACTAAAGTACATGGGCTTATCCCATTGACTGCTCGTTGGCTCCGAGTCCATGCCAGGGACCTGACCTGGGATGGGTAAATGGCAGTAGAGGAATGGGTGGGTCAGGCCAGCTGTGAGTGTTACTTAGAGTTCCTCTATGCGCTTTGCATGCTCACAGGATCTAGAGGCAGAGTCCAGTGTGAACCAAGCACCAATCTGACCTGGGGTTTTCCCCGGTTTACTTGCTGAGCATGAGGCTAGGGTGAAGAGGATAGAAAGCTCTAGAACTAGAGGAAGGAAGGCCTGGACAAAGCTAGGGGATAGGGACTTATCAGCAAAGGCAGTCAGATTGTAACAGGAAATGGGAGGTAGGGGGCAGGGAATTCATGTGAGGAAAAGGAAACAGACCTAGCTGCTGCCTTGGCCACCTCCATGAAGCTGATGCCATTCCGTTCCTAAAGCTCGGAGCCTGGATCTGCTCCGCAGTGATGGTGCTTCCTCCTGGGGGTGCTACAAGAACCACAGCATCCATGGTTCTTTGTAAGCTCCGTGTCTGACCTGGAGAATTTTGGCTACTTATACCAACAGGAAGGAACACAGTTTGTTCTGCCCAGGCAGCTGACTTGGTGCTTTCTGAAGCCACGGTCCCGGCCAGTCTCGGTCACAGGATTGTGCTAGGAGAGGGCTATCTGCTCTCGCCTTTGGGAGCCAACCAGGGCTCAGGAAGCCCCACCCGCACTCTCAGCCTGTGCCCCGCAACTGGGTTCTCACAGCCAATGAGGATCACAGGCCCCCAGGCTCCAAAGCAGGAGAAACAGATCTCCAAGGGGGTGGCAGTACACGATGGAGGCCCTGGAACCCTGTATGCCACAGTGCCAGTGGTTACCCCGATTGCCACAGCTGCCCTGCCTCTGGCTCTGGCACACCAGAGCCCTCCCCAGTAGTGAAGGGCAGCTGCCTGGAATGGGTCAGGCCCTGGCCCTGACGGCGGAGTGGAGAGGAGCCAGATGACCCAGTGAAATGGCAGCAGGATTGATGGGGGCCAGACAGAGTCCAGCCTCCCGGCTTCCCCCCCCCCCCCCCATTCTCTGGGTCATCCCACACACAAGTGTTTAGACAGAGGAGCAGAGAAGAAACGCAGACGTTCTGGATCTTGCTGGGAGGAGGCCTGTTTACTGCTTGGCAGGCCTGTGTCCAAGGGGCCTGTACCCACTTGTGTCCAGATCCCAGGCTGAACTCTCCCAGAGCCTCTGACCTCTGCCCCACCGGATAGCGTGGGAGGAGGGGGGTCTGGCGGCCACGTCCTCCCTGGGAGGTGGCTGTGAGGCTGGCTACATTGCTCTTCCCACTGTCCATCCCAACAGAGCCTAGTGACACTGGGGTCCCCACCACTCTCATGGGAGACCCATATGGAATTCCAGGCTCCTGGCTTCCACCTGGTCCAGACCTAGTCATTGCAGCCATTGGGAGTAAATCAGCAGTTTCATCTGTAACTCTGCCTTTCAAGTAAATTATAAAGGAAAAAAAAATTACTTCTGGGGGCCCCAAATTGGCTATGCATTGGAGATGGCAGAAGTCCCCTTATCCTGTCTCCTTGGGTTCTTCAGCCTGGAAGGCGTTACTTGAGTCTTGCCTGCAGCCTGCTTGGCTTGATTGGGCCTGGAAGGAGTTAAAAGGCTGAGATTCCATCTGGGTCTCCCAAACCTCAGGTACATTAGCCGGAAGATGGATTGGAAGAGGAGTAAGCGGGACTAGAAGCCAGGCACTCTGATGTGGGAATGGAGACCTCTCAAGCAGCAGCTTAGCCGCTGGGCCACCAGTGCTCAGTGGAGTTCTTAATTTGCAGGGGAGCGGGGGAGGGAGGGGAGGGAGAGAGGCAGAAATGCTAATAATATTATCTCATTTAGTTTCACAATGGGTGAATACATGTGTGAACCCCATTTTCTTTATTGATTACATTGCATTATGTGACACAGTTTTATAGGCACTGGGATTCCCCACACCCCTCCCCAACCCCCCCCATGGTGGATTCCTCCACCTTGTTGCATTACCACAGGTGAACCCCATTTTTTTTTTAAATTTATTTTTATTATTTTGTTTTATTGGAAAGGCGGATATACAGAGAGGAGAGACAGAGAAGAAGATCTTCCATCCGATGATTCACTCCCCAAGTGAGCGCAACGGCCGATGCTATGCCAATCCGATGCCAGGAGCCTCTTCCGGGTCTCCCATGCGGGTGCAGGGTCCCAAAGCTTTGGGCCGTCCTCAACTGCTTCCCTGGGCCACAGGCAGGGAGCTGGAAGGGAAGTGGGGCTGCCGGGATAGAACCGGTGCCCATATGGGATCCCGGGCGTGCTAGGCGAGGACGTTAACCACTTGCGCCACCACGCTGGGCCCGAACCCCATTTTTATAGATGAGAAAATCAAGGCAAGAAAGTTAGTCATTTGCCCAAGTTCACGCAAGCAGGATCCCAGCTATCCTGCTTGCATGAACTTGGGAAAATGATTGCAGTACTGGCTCAGGTGCCTTAACCACCATGGAGGAAGCAGGAAAGGAGGCACTTCCTGTGATGAGCCCCGATTAAGTGCCAGGCATGGGGTGTATGCTGTTGGATGTACTGTCTCATGACAGTTTCTACAACAAACCTAAGAGGGTGGTCTTATACCCATTTTGTAGTGGGGAAAACTGAGGACCCACAAGAGATTGGCAAAGGCCACAGCCCTAGAGCCATTTGCACTTCATAACCCAGAACTTGACCTCAGAATGTAGCCAACAAAAGTGTGGCATGACCTTCAATCTGGGAAGACAAGATCAACCTCATATGCTTTCACACCATCATGGGGTAGGATAGAGGACAAGATGCTGGGGCCCCATAACACCCCTCCTGTGCTGCCACCATCGCAGTCTCACATCCTATGCACACATGCTCCCCTTCAGCAGATGACAGAAGCTGGACACATTGTCATCTGGCTGCTCCAGGGACTTAGAGCTCCTAAATGTAAATATGTTAGCAGAGGCCGGAAGCAGGAGGAGCTGACCAAATCATTATGCATGAACGAATGACTCCCATCAGTGCTTGTCACGGGTGCTGGGAAAGGAGGACCCCAGTACAAGGAAGGAGTACTGAGGGTGAGGAAGGAGGTCCCCTGGTTTCTGTATCAGGCCCCACCCCCAGAGGCGGAGCCAAGGCTAAGCCCCGCCAGCCTCAGCTTCTCCACCCCTCTGGGAGCCCAGGCACAGGGCAGAGCCTGGGCAGGCTAGCCTGGCCCTGGTGATCCCCACAGAGCACAGGCTCCACACCGACCAGCTGGGACACCAGACATGGTCCAAAGCCCTGCAGGGCTGGCTGCTGTGACTTCCCGACTCTGCAAGACAAGCCCAGGCAGGGTGAAAAACACCTGTGCCCTACGGCCATGTGAGTATCCTCTCCCGTCCCCTGGGGCCCCTTGTCCCACCCCTCTAGATTTCAGAGACCTGAAGAGGTCCCTGCATGTGGCTCAAAGCCACCAGGCAGTGGGCGTTGGTGCAGCCAGCCCCCTGCTAGGAAGTCATGCCTGGGGGCTGTCCAGGTGAGGTGGGGTGTAGGGCTGGGAGCTGTAGCTCAGCCCAGGGTGGGGGGATAATGAACCCTGTATCTCAAGGTTAAACAAAGCAGACAGTGTAGAGAGGAAGAGAAACAGAAAGCAGGGGACCACAAGAGAAGGAAAGTTGTCCTGTGCAAGGAACATGAGGGGGAAATGGGGAAGGGGACCTGGGGACACAGTAGCTTGGAGGCCCCCTGGGTTGGGGGCCCTGGGAGCACATAGGGAACAGCGGGGGACATCCTGAGAAGCCATGGGACCCTGCTGCTCAGACCTAAGGAGCCCAGGGGGAAGCGGGCATCTTTTCCTTGTTGACTTGAATCCCAGCAACCACAGCTGCCCTGCTATCGACAGAAGCAGAAGTTCCCACAGGAGCCGGGCCCCCTCCCTCCCTCCCTTCCCAGAATAGGGTGATGGGAATGTGGAGGCCAGAGACCAGGGAGCCACGGGAAGGGGCGGACAGTCAGGGGCACAGGCAAGGACCTAAGTCATGGTGTGAGAGTTGCCACAGCCTCCAGCTGTGACAGAGGGTCTCTCCTTGCCACGGGCTGTGGCCAGACATCCCCCTCCCCCTGCACTTCCTCTCTTTGCCCCCAGCTGTTGCTAGTGTAGAACAGCCGAGTTTATGGGCTGGAAGTCCTACCCGGAGGCTGCTCACTGAGCTGGAACCAGCTTTACAAGGATGGCTGCGGAGGCCCCAGATCTGGCCCAAGGGGAGGCTCTCTTGATAACCAGCTGGAACAACCCTCCCCCAACTGGTGTTCTCCTCCCTCTCTGCTTCTGTGAAAGCTTTGCCTGAGGGAGGCTGGGGGTATATCCACAGGCTGGCTGGGTTGGCCTTGTGGTCTGAACACCCCACCTCCAAGCAGAAATGGACAAAGCTGACCAGTGGGACACGAATGAACTGTCTATGAGGTAGCCTCCAATCAGCATATATGTGTATGTGTTGCTAGATTTAGTTTTCCTTTTTTCTTTCTTTTTTTTTAAGATTTTAAGTCAGATTTATGGTAAAGTCAGATTCAGAGAGAAGAAACAAAGATCTTCATCTACTGGTTCACTCCCCAAGTGGCCTCAACGGCCAAGGCAGAGCTGACCTGGAGCCAGTATCCAGGAGTTTCTTCTGGGTCTCCCACACGGGTGCAGGGTCCCAAGGCTTTGGGCCGTCCTCAACTGCTTTCCCAGGTCACAGGCAGGGAGCTGGATGGGAAGTGGGGCAGCTGAGATGAACCAGCACCCATATGGGATCCCAACAAGCAAGGTGAGGATTTCAGCCACCAGGCTACCGTGTCAGGCCCAACTTAGTTTGTCAAGAAACCCAAGTAGAAATTTTAATGTACATTCTTCATTGGCAGGGAGGGAATCCATTTGTGCCTAGAAGCACACAGCCCATACTGGGTAATGCAGTACACCTGTGTGGGCCCCCCTTCTCTGTCCCCACAGCTAACTGTCCTTGTTCTTCACCTAGGTGTGCTGGTGGCTGTTCCAGGCCTCATCCGCCCCAAGGCCTAAGATGACACCAAACAGCACTGAGGAGGTACCCAGCCTAGTGCCCACAGCGGCCCTGGGGCTCTCGGTGGCCCTGGCGAGCCTCATCGTTGCAGCCAACTTGCTCCTGGCACTAGGCATTGCCTGCGAGCGCCGCTTGCGCAGCCCACCTGCGGGCTGCTTCTTCCTGAGCCTGCTGCTGGCCGGGCTGCTTACAGGTCTGGCACTGCCCGCCCTGCCAGGGCTCTGGAACCACAGCCACCGGGGCTACTGGTCCTGCCTGCTCCTCTACCTGGCCCCCAACTTCTCCTTCCTCTCCCTGCTTGCCAACCTGCTGCTGGTACACGGGGAACGCTACGTGGCGGTGCTGCGGCCCCTCCAGCCTCCGGGGGATATCCGGCTGGCCCTGCTGGGCACCTGGGCAGGCCCCCTGCTCTTTTCTAGCCTGCCAGCTCTGGGGTGGAACCACTGGACTCCGGATGCCAACTGCAGCTCCCAGGCTGTCTTCCCAGCCCCCTACCTCTACCTTGAGGTCTACGGGCTTCTGCTGCCAGCCGTGGGGGCCGCTGCCCTGCTTTCGGCCCGTGTGCTGCTCACAGCCCACCGACAGCTGCAGGACATCCGTCGCCTGGAGAGGGCGGTATGCCGGGACGCACCCTCAGCTCTGGCCCGGGCCCTCACCTGGAGGCAGGCCCGGGCGCAGGCCGGGGCCACACTGATCTTCGGGTTGTGCTGGGGACCCTATGTGGCCACACTGTTCCTGTCGGTGCTGGCCTATGAGCATCGCCCGCCCCTCGGGCCTGGCACTCTGCTGTCTCTCCTCTCCCTGGGCAGCGCCAGCGCAGCAGCCGTTCCCGTGGCCATGGGGCTGGGAGATCACCGCTACACAGCCCCATGGAGGGCAGCCGCCCGACGGTGCCTGCAGTGGCTGCGGGGCAGAGGCTCCCAGGGAAGTCCTGGCCCCAGCACTGCCTACCACACCAGCAGCCAAAGCAGTGTTGATCTGGACTTGAACTAGGATGAGGCCCCTACTGACCGTGACCCCTGGCGACTGAGCCCACTTGTCTGCATCAGAGCCTCTGCCTACAGCTTAACCCACCCCACACAGTGCCCTTTCCCTGTCCCTGGAGTGGAGAAGCCAGCAGCCAAGTCACAGAAAGAAACCAAGGGAGATTCCTACTCCAGACTGATGGGGGTGAGGTAGACGCTAAGGTCTGGGGCAGAAGGGCGCACAGTCACTTCGAGGTGGGCGAGGTTCCTGGCGGCTCTGTCACATAGCTTGTGGCCTTCACTACTTCCTCCAATCAGCTGGCCACCACACACTCCACACAGACACTGCCTCTGGGAAGTATATTTTATTTACATGTTTAAAATCTGTAGCTAGTATCTCTTGCTCCTTTCCACCCCCGGGGTCTCAGGGAGGGAAGGAACGGGAGCCTCCGTCATCTACTCCCCACTTGCAAACACACAGCCGTTGCAATGCTCACACCAGCGAATGAGTGAGAGAGAGAAAGAGGCCTGTCCCCCGCCCCCCAACACACACAAACCCAGGGTCACTGGGTCTGCACCAGGAGAGGGAACACCCTGGGGTAGGGGTGGGGTCTAAGGAGGAGGAGAGGATAGAGAGGGGCAGGCCAGACGGAGGGGCTGGAAAGTGGGGCCAGGCCCCCACCATACCCCTCTGTACCCCGCCGCCTCTGCTGGTGACACAAGGCCAGAAGCTGTAGCCATTAGCGGTCAGGCCTCTGGACACAAAAGACTTTTGCTTTGTGGTCTCCTGACGTGGTCACCACCAGGGAGGCATCTCTGTGGACAGAAGGTAGGAGCCTGAAGTGGGAGCTGGGGGAATCCTCAGCTACCACCCATGGGTCCTGGAATGGGCGCCTACCAGTCCTCGGTGCCTGAGGCTGGACTGACGCAGCCACAACCCCAGCAGGAAGGCCAGGGAGGAGAGGCCCTAGCGTGGGAGCAGCACAGAGCAAAGTGGACAGGACACACCACAGCCCAGTACCCCATGGCGAGATGTGAGGCTGGGGAGGGCATGGTCACCGAGGAGGTGGGGCCAGACCAGAAACCAAGACCCCCTAGGCTTGACCCCTGGGTGGGGTTTCCCAGCCTGCCTGTCTCCAGAGCCAGGACTAGACCTTGTTGGGCTCTGGCTTCACATCAGGGTGCCCTCCCACACCCCAGGGGTCCTGTGTCCCCACATGTTAATGTCACCTTCTAGACAGAGCCCATGTGGCCCGAGGCCCCGTCACTCACTTGCTGAGGGCAAAGTCCAGGATCTCAGCCGTGTGACCCCGGTAATCTGTGAGCAAGCGGCCAGTCCGGGCATCCCAGAGGCGCACCACACCATCCAGGCTGCAGGTGTAGACCACAGCGGTACCTGCCTCCCACAGCAGCTGCACAATCCCGGACTGCCGCGGGTGTGACAGAGGCAGGCCCAAGATCAGCGCTGGGAAAGCTGAGAGCATCTGCTCTCAGCTCCCCCGGACGGTAGGCCCCAGACAAGGGCTCCTTGTCTGGAGCCCGCAGCAGTAGCCAGGGCCAGAGGCCCATGGGGGACCTACCTGGTGCTGACACTGGTGCCTGAGAGTCTGCGTAGACAGGTCATAGATGGCCAAGGTTCCGTCCAGGTAGCCGACAGCGGCCAGGGGCATCCTGGACAGAGGAGAGCCCCAGGCAGGCTCATGAGTGCCTGGGCTCGCAGCTCTTCTTCCCAGCCCTCAGTGCCTCCCACAAGGCCCTGGTTCACACTCACACACTACAGAAGCCCAGCGACTCCACTGAGTTAGACTCGCTCTCCTCGCCTTCACCTGGGCTGGGCTGGGAGGCCACGGTCTCAGGTCTGAAGACACCCACAACCTAGAAGGGAGTAGGAAGGGTCAGGCAGGGCCTGCCCCTGAAAGAGAGGCAAAGTGGGGGTGAGGAGGCAGAGCTGAGAGAGGTTGGGGTGAGGAGGCAGGAACAAAGACACTGGGAAGCAGAGGCCCCCAGCCAGGCTGTGGTGCACTCACCTTGCCAGTGGTGGCACTGACCAGCTTGGCCTGGCAGTCCACAGAGCCGGTCAGGATCAGGCTGCCATCCTGATTGGTGGCCACACAGGTCAGAGGACCCTGGTGACCCTCAGGCCCTAGGAAGGGACAGGGGAAATGTTGTCGGACTTCCGACTGTCTCCCCCTTCCCAGTCCTCAGCGCCCTCCCCACACTGCAGCCCTCATGGGTACCTTTTAGCACATGGATGGGGTTGCCCTGCTTCAGGTCCCAAATCCTGATGGTGCCGTCTTCGTAGCCGACCACAGCTCTCTTCCCTGAAGGCCACAGGCACAGGAGCAGAAGGGAGAGTCAGGGCAGAGGGGGTGCCCAGACGCAATAGGCAAGAGGAAAGGGAAGAAAGTAAAGACGCTGATTCCGCCCCTGCCCCCACCCCACACACGCGGGAATTCCTGGGTCTGCTGTCGACCCAAAGCGTGGGACAGGCCTCAGGGAGGGAGGGAGGGAAGGAAAGAGGAAGCCTGGAGCCACAACCAGGATGCCAGCTCCGCACCCAGCCAAGGCGACACAGGCAGCTGCTCTCACCATCAGGGAGGACGTGGCCACAGGTGGCGGGGCAGGTGGGACCCTGGAACGTCTTACAGTCGCCATTTGGGACCTTCCACATCCAGGTATTTCCATCAGCCGTGCCTGCTAGGAGGACAGGTGCCCGAGGGTGCCACTCCATCCACTGGGCAGAGAGAAAGGATTTGTGGTGATGTCCGTCACTGCCCCCCAACCCAGCCCGGGTGGGAGCCCACCCCATCCCAAGCTGCTTCACTTCTGGAGGTGGGGCAGACACTGCTGCCAGCCCTTGGGCTCGTGGCTGGCTGGTCCAGGACAGATGGGCCACGCGTCCTCCCTGTCAACTGCTCAGTACTGAATCCCACTGCGAGCAGCTCACCTCCAGGTCTCCCGCCTCGAAGGACCACACCTCTTCCTTGGTGTCCACCTGCCATACTTTCAAGAGGCCACTCATGTCACCCGTGGCCACTAAGGTAGAGTCATGGCTGAATCCCACACAAGTCACAGAGTCTTTATGGCCTGTAAAGAAACGTGGGGACAAACATAGAACACAGAGGACCTAGTACTGTGGGCACACGTACGCGAACAAACTTCCCACGGCCCAAGACAGACCCTACTGGTCCCCAACTTAATTAGGTGGTGTATGTCGGTCCCCCTGCCCACTCTGCACCTCCACCCATGCTCCTCCAGGTTGTCCCTACACACCGCGGACACAGAGCGCCCCCCACCCCGAAGCCCCCACGGACCATGCTGCTGCTGCCCTCTGTGCCCGACTCCCGGCATAGAGCCAGCATGACCCCCCTCACCTGCACACTCAAACAGCAGCTCGCCATCACTGAGCCGCCACACAAAGGCCTTGTCGTCTTCACCGCCCGTCACTGCCAAGGTGTTAGTCTTGGGGTCCAGGCTTACACAGAATACTGAGGCTGTCCCAAGAGACATGTTCACCCTTAAGGGCACCTTCAGAATCTTCAGGAAACACACCCCCTCCCCCAATGCAACCCAGCCTTCCCTCCTAAGTTCCCAGAAGTTCCGAAACCAGCTTGATGTCATGAAGAGCCCTCCCCTCCCTGCTCCACGAGTCCTTGTCCAGGACACAATGCCCCCATGTGCAGGTCCTCTCATCCCGTGCCCAGAGGCAGGGGCTGTGCGTGATGTGTGCCAGGCTGGTGAGCACAGGAGACCACCCACGTGGGGAGGGAGTGGGGAGGTTTGTGTCACGGGTTTCTAAGATCTAACCTTGGAGAATATTAAAATATGTTCCAAAAGGTATCTTTCTTAGAATCAATGACTTTTGACTTTCAACAACTTTTTCTCTTTTTGTTTGTTTGAAAGGCAGAAAGACAGAAAAAAAGAGAACTCCCCTCTGCCAGTTCCCTCCCCCTATTGTCCCCAAGCACAACCAGGAGCCAGGAGCTCCACCCGGGTCTCTCATGTGGGTGACAGGGCCCCAGCCACTGGGAGATGGACACGGATGCCCCAAGAAGACAGGCCAGATGCCCACCCTAAAAGATAACTGATTGTTTTATTTTTTTCCTTCTTAAAGAAAACTCAACTCCTGGTGGCTGAGGCCACCTGTCCCATTGGCCCCCAAAGCCCACCTGCTCTCACTTCGGAGCCACCTCCTTCCGGACCTACCTGAGTGCAAGGCAAAGGTGACCTCACTGTCGTCAGGGCCCTCCATGCTGCCGACCACCCCCTCCTGGGGTTCCAGAACCCAGCCCTCCTCGTTGCCCTCTTCCTCCTCTTCCTCCTCCTCAAAGTCCACATCTTCCATCTCCTGGGCCAGATCATCTGCTTTGGAGTGAGTGGGTAGAGGAAAGACAGAGGCAGGGCTCAGGGAGGGCGGGACAACGCTACCAGTGACGGGGAAGCCTGAGGCTGGAGCGGGCCACGCGGCCAGGAGGCAGAATGAGGGTCACGGGCAGCTGGGGTGCTGCAGGGGTGCGATGAGCGGAGAGGAGGGGGCGTGCAGAACCGGGGCAAACGCTGAGGACCTCAGGCTGGCCGGCGACCGAGTGGGAAGGCAAGCCGAGGGCATGATGGGAAGGGGGTGTGTGAGGGGAAGGGCCAGGGGAGGCGTCAGGGAACCCCCACCCCGGTCAGGCCCGAGAACTAAGTGGGGGTGGGGGAGAGGCGGGAGGGAGCGGGAGGTCGGCGGGAGGGATCGGCAGGCAGGGCACGGAGAGTAGGGGGAGAGGCGGGGGTCGGAGGCCAGGCCAGGGGTGAGCGCCTCCTGTCCCGTGGCCGCGGGAGCGGCGGTTCTCACCCGGGTCCGGTGGACCAGGCTCCAGTTCTACCACCTCGATAATCTCTTCATCGCCATGAAAGCTCAGGGTCTCCAGCGGAGGGGTGTCAGCGGCGGCCCCGCTTTCCGATTCGGACTCCATGCGGAGCAAGCGGCCGATCCACTTCTCAGGGCCCAAACGCCTCCCAGAGTCAGCTCTGCGCGACGACGCGGAACTCGAGCCCCTCCTCCCGGGAGGAAGTGGGCGTAGGCAACGCCCCAGCAGAAAGAGCGATGGCCGCGCCACCAATGGCGGCGGGGGCTGGCTGGCTGAACCACCAATCGAAGGGTAGAGATGGGAGACGGGACAGGGGCGTGGCGAGCAGGCCCCTCCGAAACTCCGCCCAGTATAACTCCGCCCCCGGCGGGAGGGAAACAAGCGAGTGCGCGCCTCCCCGGTCTCCTGGGAATAGTAGTTCCCCGGGTTCGTTCCGCGGGCTTCTGGGATATGTAGTTTCTGGTCTGTAAGCAAGGCGGAAGGAGCGGGGGAGGCCCCTTACGCAAACTACAATTCCCGGCGGGGAGCGCGTTGAAGGGGGGGTGGGATCTGAACATGGCGGCGGTGGTAGCGGCTACGGCGCTGAAGGGCCGGGGGGCGAGAAACGCCCGCGTCCTCCGGGGTAAGGAGAGGGACCCAGGGGCGGGCAGAAGTGCAGGAGACCCCTGTCCCTTGACACACCACCTGACGTAGCAGCGGCTCAGGGCTGTCGAATCATGCCCACAGCTCTCTGCAGAATGTTAAGAGTCTGGGGGAGAATCCATGCTCTGTGGCTGTCACCCCGTCAGTCCCCCTGCCGTCGGGTTCCACGACGCCTCTGGGGTCTTGCAGCGAGGGAGCCCTGAGGAAGCCTTTCAGACTCCCGCGCTCCGGGTGTTCCACACTCACCGCAGTGCAGAGGAAAGCGCCCCGGTGGGTTCCAGCCCCGGAGAATTGGCAGTTTGACCTTGGGGCGAGGCGGTTGTTCTCGGGACCTTCGGTTTCCTCTTCGCTACCGTGAGAGGTCGAAGTAGATCCCCCCCTTAAGCTCCCTTCCAGGGCTCCTAGCATCCTGCAGTTGTAAAAAACCTTTTCCCGGATTCCTTTCGGGAGTCTCGCGTGAGTCTCCCCACTGCGGTCCTTCCTTCCCGTCCTGGCGTCCGTGGGGGGGTAATAAAAAAGCGAAGCTTGCTCTCCTGGCCCCAGGGTGACGAGCCTGCAGTGACGTGGAAGTGACTGCCAAAGGTGCCTCTTCCCAGGCGGTTTCCCCTGTGGATGCTCGCTAGCACCTATTACTGTGAGCTGTAGTCACCTCAACCTCCCTGCCCCTTACCCCTGCCCCCTCCACCCCTCACCCACCTGCCTCTCCCTCCTTCCCCAGGGATTCTCTCCGGAGCCACTGCCAACAAAGCTTCCCAGAACAGGAGCAGAGCCCTGCAAAGCCAGAGCTCTCCGGAGGGCAAGGAGGAGCCTGAGCCCCTCTCCCCGGAGCTGGAATACATTCCCAGGAAGAGGGGCAGGAACCCCATGAAAGCTGTGGGGCTGGCCTGGTGAGTTGGAACTGCCCCTTGGCTTGCCAATGGTGGGGGCGGTGGGGGGGGGGATTGGGGAGGGTTCAGGACCCATAAGTTGCTTCACATGTTTCAGATGGTGAGCAGGATCCAAGGCCTGGAGTCTGAGGAGTGGGGAGGAGGGAAAAGTGTATGAAACCAGGAAGACTGTGGCTTTTTGGTGATGCGATGCAAATTTGGGTCCGTGGCCTCCATCTCCCTTTGCAGACTTGGGGTGAGACCCATGTTCCAGTGCTGAGTTGAGAGTCTGTTAATTGTACAGAAACAGCAAGATCTCCTGGATGTGACTCTGACCTTAACGCTTGTTACCGATGAGAGAGGGGAAGGGGGTGTTCACAGGGCTCCCCGGCACCTGAGGTGCGCCGCTGTGCTTTACCAAGTACTGTTCTGATCTTCATCTCACGATCCCATTTCACAGAGATGGCATTCTCAGCAGGTCTTGTGACTCCATGCTCTCCTCTCCTACCCCCCCACCCACCAGAGTACCTCCCTGGTAGTTGTTGAAGTTAAGAGCAGAGTCTGGGAGAGGAGGTGGGGTCTGTGGGTAGACTTCTAGAGGGGAAAAGGGCCGAGGAGGGTTTGTGCCTCAGAGTATCCCGGCCTAGGGGCCACAGTGGGGCAGTGGGCAGAGACCCAAGGCATGTGTGAAAGTCTGAACTTGACCCATGCAGGGACAAGAGGGCCAAGGAGGTATGTAGCAGGGCAGTAGCCTGGCTCCCCCTCCAGCTGCCTACACAGGGAAAAGTAGATACGAGAGGGAGTGCACCATTCCTGTCCCCCAGGAGGTCAGAACGACTCTGGCTCAGACTCGGCCCCTGCCCAAACCCCGTGCCCATCTCCCTACCCCCCCTAGGGCCATCGGCTTCCCCTGTGGTATCCTCCTCTTCATCCTCACCAAGCGGGAAGTGGACAAGGACCGTTTGAAGCAGATGAAGGCTCGGCAGAACATGCGGGCGTCCAACACGGGCGAGTATGAGAGCCAGAGGTTCAGGGCCTCCTCCTAGCCCACCCGGTCCCCCCACAAATGGGTCCAGGGTTCAGAGCTGAGGAGCCCTGTGGCCCTCCCCCAGACTGTACCGCCTGCCAAGGGTCCAGCACCCCAGCATCCCAGGCCATGCCCCTGAAGTCCGCCAGGGGGCGCATGAAGTCCGGGCTGCATCCAGCCCCACCCCTCCCAGGCTGGGAGGCAGCCAAAGGCAAATAAAAGTGAGTGTGAGTGGAAAGGAACCAGGCCTGGGTCAGTGCCTCCCTCGGGTGGGGCTGGCCATTCCATGGTCTCTCAGCTTAGAGCTGAGCGTCCGTCCGCACTGCGTGATAATGAGACAGTCCTGGGATTAGGCGCAGCAGGTGGAGGTTCCCACCCTGGGGACCAAGCCCTGGGAACCGCTGCAGGCAGAAGGGTGCGTTCCCACCCCATGGAGAAACCAACAACACAGACTCATCCAAGAACGCATCCAGGGTGTGGAGGCAAACAAGCAAGTCAGGACTTCTCGGACCTGTCAGGGCCTCAGTTTCCCTGTTTGTATGATTTCTTCTGCACTTGCACACCACACCCTCCCCCAGCTAGAGCTGCAGGTAGGCTCAGGGCCCTATGAAGAACGGAAGCATTCCAGTTAGCCTCACAGCCCTGGGCCCTGATCCCTTCCATCTGTTGCTGCAGTTTGGCTTCCCCATTAACTCTGTCACCTTTGAGCCCTTCGTCAGTGGGGGGGGGGAAGGCCATGCTCCAGTGTGCTTGGTTACCATGGGAACTGAGACAGGTCAGAGGCAGGAGGTGGTGCCTCTCCAAGTGAAGGCCAGTGGAGCCACCAGAAGTGTAACTTCTAAACATAAGACTTTATTATCTCTCTAGTTGTGTCCCTTTGTGTACTCTATTCAGGATCAAGTACTTAATGGAGAAGTCCTAATACATCCATGGGCCCCTACCCAGCAGCCTGCTCCTGACACTGTGTTACGGGGAAGGCAGTGGCAAGGCACTCAGGGCAGGGGATACTGAGGCATTTTCCTTGCCCCAATCCCAGTCTGAGTTCAGCCTGGTTGATATCCTGGTCATATCCATGACCCTACAAGTTACCCTCCTCACTGTTCCAAGTGGCCTGAGCACAGGAAGCAGGAGGTTCCCTTGACCAGAAGCACAAGCAGGGAGGCCCAAGTAGTGTTGGAGGATGGACACCAGACGGGTATAGGCACCTGCTCAAGCCTACCACATGCCAGGCGGCAGGCGGTGGTCACTGCTGCCCTGCTCTGGCCTCATCTCCATCCCTAACCCTGTGCTTGTCACAGAAACAGTGTGGGGTTGATGACAGCCTGTGAGTTCAGGGTACTGCAGCCAAAGCACTCTGGCTCCACAGGGCTAGGGAGAGGAAAGCATTCCAGCTCCCCAGCCTTGAGGCCTGAGAAAGGCATGGGGGATGGGGGAGACAGATGGGGCTTCACCTTGAAGTCACTTCCACCTTGCATATTTCCCTTTGCACCTCCAAGAAGAATAGGGTAACATCCCCAACCTGTTTCCTGCCCTGGCCACCCAAGACAAGAGTCAATCCTGCACTCCAGCCCCACCAGGAACCTGCATATCCGCAGCCAGACAGGAAGGGTACTGAAGGGAAGGAGAGGGGTGCAAGGCCCAGAGCTCAGCCCTCTAGAAGGCCGAGAGCCCAGGGCGGGGCGGGGGACTGGGATGGGCTGCCCATCAGTTGCGGTCCCCCAGCAGCTGCAGCACAAAGGTGAAAATGTAGACGATATCTGTGTAGATCTGCAGGGCGCCCGTGATGTAGTCCTCAGGGCTGATGGTGTGCTTCCTGTTCCCCAGGACAAGCTGCGTGTCGTAGGCCAGGAACTGCAGCGAAGGGGAGGCCCAGTGAGAACTCGGGGGACCCTGGCCTGGGAGCTAGGCATGCGCTGCGCTTTGGCCACACATGCGTGAGCAGTGTAAGCTCTGCCCTCCCGCGCTTTGCTGCCCAGGGAAGGAGGCACACACGTTATCTGTACCATGGCCTGCAAAGTGTTCTAGAAACTAGCATTGTGCAAGAGACTGTGGGCATGCATGGAAAATCAGGGGAACCTAGTGACATGAGGGTGGGGTCCGTCAGCCATGGGCCCACATGGCCTAAACTCGTGCTGTACTCTCAATTCCTCCTCTCCATCCTGAGTTCCCCCTCCTAGACAGGGTAGGGGCATACTCACCAGGGTGAAACAAATGGCCCCCAAGGCAGCATAGACCATGTGCAGCCAGTAAACCTGCAGGAGAGGGATTGGGCCAAGTGAGGGACCTTAGCAAGGTGGGACCAACCTCTGCCCCCTGTTTCATCCTCCCCCACCCCCATCATGGCCCAGGAGAAGCTAGGAATGGTGATAGATTTGGCAGAGTGGCAGCCATCCCACAAAGCTATGTAAAACCAACCCTGGCCTGTCTTAGCTGGTTAGTCAAGGTACATAGGTGGCCATGATACTTGGGAACAAGGTGGCATGGGACCTGATCTGGGAGGGAGCACACCCAGCATGCAGTTTCAGAGCCCGCCATGGGCTTCCCTGTTCAATGTAGGAATTCAGGAGGGCAGTGCTCACAGCAGCCTGCCCAACACACCTACAGGTCCCTGTCCCACAGTGTGGTGGGCAGTAGGCCCCTTGCTCTCCCTTAGCCTAGGGGGTTCATGTTCTCCCTCTGCAACTGAAGAAAGAACTGATCCAGTGATCCCTAAATTCTCTTCCACCCAGCCCAGCTTCTTGGCCCGGTGGTTCTCCTCCTCTGACTCAGGAGGCTGGTCTCAGCTGTTAGATCTGCTCCTCTACTTCCTGTGGGATTTGCATTTTTTTTTTTCAAGATCCCAGGTGCCATGTCTCCAGAGATAGTTTTATCCCCTAAGTCAGAGGGACAGTGCTTGCCCATATGTGCCAATGCCAGCTAAGCAAAGGTTCTGGAAGTCAGAGCCTCTGCTGCACAGAGAGTGCCAGGAGTGTGGACTCCTCAGTGCTGCTCCCCCAGGACACTTACATATTTGAAGGCGAGCACGATGCTAGTAACAATCCCGGTTACCATCAGCACGATGCCCAGGACGCAGAAGAGGCCTGTACAGGAGGTGAAGTCCACCTGCCAGCAAGGGGGAAGCACCTGTCAGAGCACAGCACTCCTGGCAGGGACCCCAGGACACTGCCGAGGGGACACAGGTAGCCACTGTGTAGATGCACATGTGACGGGGTCAGCTTTGATCTCTAAAGGAAAGCCCTGCTATAGAGGGGTCAGGCCCTGCCAGGGCTGTTCCAGTGTGACACCCAGAGGGCACAGGGATGCAGCAACCCCGCAGGGCACACCATGGCCTTACCTTAGTCTGGAAGCAGAAGATAGTGACCGAAATGGACACTATAGCAGTGATGATCATGGCAATGATGACGGCTTTGGTCTGATACATACTGAGGAGTCACAAGACGATGAATAACTTCACAGTCCTTCTAGAAGGACCCTGCCCAGAAACCCACCCACCCAGGTGACTAGCATCCAGGAGCACACCCCACCCACCCCATGATCCACCCTTTGCAGAAGCGCAGTGGGTCATCCCTGTGAGTACCTGGAAATGGTGCCCGTCATGAAGCCCATGGCAAAAGTCTAAGGGCAGGAGAGACAGAGGGAAATACTTAATGTAGAACGATTGCACCCTGGCAACTGTGACCATGTGACTGAGTTGGGAAGAGGGAGCCACAGCGAGACTTAGAAGCAGGCAGTCAGGGTGAGGTGGGGGAGACAGGCAGAACGCCCCTCCCGGTGTGGGCCACCCCTCCCACTACCCCACAGACTCACGAAGAGGGTCAGCAGGATGATGTTCCATGGGAAGCGGCGCCTGACAGGGACAGAAACACTGCTGAGTGTCTAGGCCCAGCCAGGGCGTCAACCTCCACAGGGGGCAGGGAAGGGGGCCTGGCATGGCCTTGGTCCCTGCTCGGGACTCTGCATAGAGACAGTGGCAGTGGGGTGGGTCTGTGCTATGAACCAGAAGGACTCATACTTACAGCTCTTGATGACCACCTGTGTGACAAAGGTTACAATGCTACCTAGTGTGCAGGGTCACTGTGAGAGGGACAGCTAGGGGGGTTCCATGCGTGCCCGCGGTACCATTTACTGCCACCACCAACATCACTTCCTCTGAGTCTCTGTTCAGCTGCTATAAGCAGTCCCTTTCTTTCCCAAAATACTTCATCTCCATCCCACCCCCAGCCAGCCCTTCTCACCCCCCAAAGCCCTGGGACTCACCTGGGTCCCTGGCAGCAGGCAAGGGTCAGGTAAGTGACAATGAAGACTGCGCTAGAGAGAAAAGAAATAGGGAAGTTGCCTGTGGGCCCAAAGCCACTCAACCTCTTCCAGCCGAGCCTGGCAACACACAGCAGCCCCAGAGGGCTGAGGCAAGCTGTTCTGTAGGCTGCAAGGGCAAGGTCGTGCCCATTCAGGGCACTGAGCCCCTCTGAAACACAGGTCTGGGCCATGAAGGAGGCTGAGAGAGGCCACAGCCGAGTGGCTAGAACAGGGGATTATCCCACCCCCAGCCCACTCTCCCACACCAGCACTGCCCAGCACAGGCACAAGCCCTAGCCACTGGCAGGACCCTCTCCAAAGCATTTTGATTCCAGCCCTGAGCAGAAGCAGAAACTGCAGGAGCTGGCTCAGGACTCCCATGAGCCCTGGGTGCAAAGCAGCTGGTACTCACTAGGACACGTAGTAGACAGCCACGTTTCTCCTGACAAACTGGCCCACTGGTTCCCTGTGCAGCAGAGGGGAGGGGGATAAGAGGAGTGAGACCTGGCAGGTGGCCCAGAGCTCCTGGGGGTGGACAAGAGTGGACCAGGAGACTCACACAAAGGTGAAGATGGCGATGATGGCCACCGTGATGAGCAGCTGGACGGAGATGATGCTGTACACCTGCCACACAGACAGCAGGGGTCAGTGCAGAGTCCCTGCCAAGTCCCAGAGCAGAGAGCCTAAGGTCTGCGGGGCCCCAAGCCTCCCGTGGCCTGTCAGTGCCTGGAAGGTGCTGCTCTGCTGTGAGCCTGCACAGCCTCCCCACAGTGCAGGCCAGCAGAGGGCTGGCCCGGGGGGCTGCACACAGGCCTTTGGCTGCCCCATGGCCCCCAGCCAGCCTCTGCTGACTAGCCAGTTATGGCCTCCACAGGCACGTGCTCCCATGTAGCACATACTATGCTTGTCTACACTGAGCAGGGTACTGTTGCAGGTATGAATTGGAGAGGGGCAGATGACAAGCGAGTATGATGGTTTTGGCTCCCTGCTGCCTGTAGCCTAATGGGAACTGATGTCTGGGTAAGGCAGGACATTGGACAGGGCCCAGCCAGGAGCCTGCTCCAGATGGAACCTGCCCTCCCAAATCAAGGTCAAGGACACTGGGGTCTGAGGAGATGTAGATGCCCCTGAGGAGTGGGGGCAGGGCAGGAGGGACTTGAAAAAATCACCATGTTCATTTTTTGCAGAACATACATAGTTTTTTTTGTTCATGCATTTTCCGTGAACATTTTTTTAAAAGACTATTTATTTACTTAAAGGGAAACAACAGAGAGGTCTTTCATCCACTGGTTCACTCCTCCAATGGATGCAACAGCCAGACTAAAGTCAGAAACCAGGAATTTCATCCATGTCACCCATGTGGGGAGCAAGGGCCAAGGTAACTAGACCATCATCCACTGTCTTTCTAGCCTCTTTATCAGGAAGCAGCCAGGACTCCAGCTGGGTCTTCAGTACAGAACACCAGTGTCATAAGTGGCAGCCAAAACCGCCATGACACCAGCCCCTCAATGAACTCTTTGCAGAGCCCCCTGTGATGTACAGGAGACTGTGCCAGGGAGTCAAGCTAGCCTGTCCCTCCCCACTCCCAAGCCCGAGGGGCCCTTCCAGCACACAGCTCACCTTTCTGATGAAGTTGTGCCTGACCTTCCGGTCATCCCACTCTCCAGCTCCAAAGCTGTCACTCACTGCTCTTTCCTCACCTTCATAGCCACTGCCTGGGCCTAGGGACAGATCACACATGTCCAACTGAGGGCCTGAGACAAGTAGCATCCATCCCAAAGCCTCCCTGACACGGTTTCACACAACACCTCATGGAGGTCTAGCCAAGACGAGAGAACGAGAGCGAGCACAGAAACCTCTCCCACCAACGCAGGCGTGGCTCTAGGGAGCTGAGGTGCACATCTGTGGAGGGCCCCTGTGTTCCCAGCATGCCCTGATCCAGTGAGGAAGCCAGGCAGGAGTGGGGCTGACCATGTCACAGCAGGGGACTCCAGGGTGTGTGTGTGTGTGTTACAGCAGGGGACTCCAGAGTGTGTGTGTGTGAGGACTACACTCTGTGGCAGGTGTCACAGGAGCAGATGTATCAAGGACATGGTGACTGTTAATGTGAGAGTGCCATACTCAGGGCCACACCAGTGTACCTGTGCCCAGGTGACCGTCAGCCCTGCCCTGACTCCAGGGCCTCGGGACATCCCTTGAAAGCCTCTCTGGGAACCCCTTTCAGAACCTACAGGTAAACCCCACAGAGAAAGCAGCTCACTGCCTTCTGGTCTCCCCTTGTTCCTGAACCTCATTTGCCTGCTTGTTTAAGTGCTCAGGGTTTAATGCTGAGGATATTTTAAAAATAAATAAATAAATAAAGTGCTCTGGCTTGCAAGGTCATTCCTAAGAAGGCGCTAAGTCGGGTGGGTGGCAGCAGCCTAGCAGGGGCATAGCAAGGGCCTGCTCAGGAGACCCTTCAGTCGCTGTTTCTGCGTGCGTACCCCTCTGGACTTAGGGACTCGGTCTTCTGCTGAACACAGGGGCTAGCAAGTGACTGCAGAGGCCAAGTGTTAAGGATCAGGGTCAGGAAGAAACAGGGTATGCCAGGGGCTATGGAAGGGAAGAGGAACTGAGCAAAGAGAGGGGAAGCAGGTGTCTCGCAGCCCCCCATGCTGCCCCCCTCCCAGCAGCTTCCATCCACCCTTCCAAGACTCACCATAGTTCATAGGCATCGGGTGGATGGGGGGCATGGGCTGAGGGTAGCCAGCAGGGTGACCATAGCCCGGCTGTGGGTAGGCAGGGTACCCACCCGGCAGCATGGACGGCTGCCCATAGCCCCCAGGAGGTGGAGGGCCAGGGTACAAAGGGTTGCGGTCCTCATACGGAGGTGGGGCACTGGGGTTGGACATGGCCACTCACAGGCTGAGGGCTCCCCCAGCTGCTGTGACCTGAAATGGAAGACATGAAAAGCGGTCATCAGTGCCAGGCTGCAGCTGGTTCCACAACCCTACCACCCTGCCCAGTCCAGCCCCGTCCCTGCCACAGAGAGGCGGCCTCTTGTCTGTAGATCACAGTGTGTCACTGGTTACCCGCTGGCCACCTCCCCTCGGGCTCTCTCTCTCCTCTGAAGCCTCCTGGCCACAGGAGAGCAAGGACCAGGGATGGACCAGGGATGAACCAGGGGCCCATAAGCCACCAACTATCAGTGGGGGGACAAATGTGATCTGCAGGGGTCAGTACAGCCCCAATGGCAGCTAGCAGGGATGCCAGGCCTGGGAGCCAGAGCTGGAGTGGAGCCAGGGCTCTGAGAGGAGGAGGAAAACAAGCCGGCCCCAGAGCCAGGGCTGCCAGGCTCAAGAGGGATGGGGCCACTGGCACAGAGGCAGGCTGAGTCAGGGGATGTCTGAGAAGCCAGAGCCAGCACGTGCACAGGGCTGGGGGCGGGGTGGCATGCCTAAGGAGACAGGAGTTTCTGGTTCAGTCAAGTCCCAGCTGCGGCATGTCAGATAGGCATGTGGTAGCCTGCGGCCCATACTGCTCTTGGCACTGGTGTTGTCACGGAGTAGAGAGAGTGCAGAGGCCCAGGGGAGACGCATGTATAAAACCCCAGGGTCTGTGGGATTGCTGGGATTTTTCCCTATCTGCCCCGCCCCACCCACATGGTGATGATGGTGGTGGAGAGGCAACAGGATGTATAAGAGCTGCCCATCAACCCAGCTAGACCAAGGACCCAGCAAGGGGAAACCCTGGAAGCAGAGTTGAAAGGGGCTCAGTTGTGCGGACTTGGCCATGAGTCCCCAGTGAGGACTCTGGGCTCAGGACAGTGAAGCAGGAATCCGAGAACTAGCCCTGCAGCACCTGGCACATCCCATGTCCTTAGGCCCAGGGTCCCTGGGGAGGCCACCTCTCCCTAGAGCATCCCTCAGAGCAAAGAGAGACACTCCCAGATCCAGGTCAGCAGAGTCCTGAGCAGCCCAGGGCCCACAAAAAAGGACTGTCTTATCTCTTGTCTTTTAGGACAGCTGGGGTCATTCCAATGGGGGGGGCAGCAGGGGATCAAATAGCATGCCAGGGCTCAGTGCATTGCCCTGAGGGAAGCTGTGCCTGTCTTCCTGGAACTAATGGGGCAGAAGCAGAGCTTGGGGACAACAAGTGGGCAAGAAGAGGGTGAGGGTGTGAGGTAGTGCATCCCAGAAGGGCAGGTGTGGGAGGGCCAGGGCAAAGTAGAATGCTGGGGCTTATGACATGGAATGCAGGCTGGCTCACACAATGTCTGGGACTTGGAGAACAGCAAGAAGGTTGTCCTATGTACCAGCACCATGAATCGCTCTAATAGGTTTTTTTAAGAGGGAGGTAAACTGGGCCCTCCCTCTAGCAAGAAGCGCCTTCTGCCTGGACCCTGCCTCCTTCAGAACCTTCTTGAGTCCCCAAAAAGCACAGCATCAGGTCTAGAAGCCCAGGGGTGGGGGGTTTGGGATGTCTCATTACTGCCAACTTCTAACACCCTGGACCCAGGGCTGGCAGTACATGGCCCATGAGGCACTGACAGGAAGGGCTCTGGGTGGTCAGAAGGCCCAGCTGTGCCACCAGACCATGAGGTCACCACTTCCTGACCTGGAAGCTCCTCAGAGAGCACCTGCGCAGAATGCAGTGCAGTGGATGGGTGGGTAGGCTAGAGGAATTCAGCTCAGACCACAGACCAGGCTCCAAGTTGCCGCCCCCTCCCTCTGCCTGTGGCCAGGCAGGGCAAACAGGTGCCTTCCCTGACCAAGGGGTTCCTGTATCCACTGAGGGAAGAGTGAAGGGTGGAGGGAAGGCCTCAAGAGAAGGCCACCAGCGCTCCGGTCCAGCTCTGGCTCCTGACTCACTCACACAAACCCTGCCCCTGTCCTCTCTCACCGCACTCTGCCACATCTTGCTTCCAGAGAATTCACCAGTATGCCTGCCTTCCGGAGACTTCAGCTACCATTCATTCATCCCAAACACCACCTGGAAAATGGCCTTAACGCTAACAGTAATTGAATTAAGTGAGGAAATGGACTGGAGAGCACATCGGATGCTGCCAGACACCTGATAGAAAGGGACCATCCTTTAAAAAAAAAAAAAAAAAAAAAAGACCAGCTCCATACAGAAGCCCAGCACCGAAGGCACTGACCCCAACACCTAGACGACAGAGGTGGGACTTGACTTCCCAGCCTGAGCCAGGCTCTGCATCCCTCATTTCTATTCCCTGTCCATCCAAGCTTCTCAACCCTCCTGCTGGGGCTCCCCACCCCCATCCTGAGGCCTCCACACCCACACAGGCTTGCACAGCAGGTTGGGGGATCCAGAGATGGACTGACAATGTCAGAGCTGAAAGTAGACCCCCTGCCCCTCCACCCCGCTTTGTGTTGAGTTGCTGACCTCAGCTACACTCCCATCGAGCAATGCCAGAGGAAGGAGAACCCCCTTGGCCTGGCAGGAGGCTCCGGGGCCCAGGGTTCCTGCCTGACCCACGTGAGGGTCTTGGCCACCTCCACGTTCTCAGGGCCTCCACTGAGGAGCAGGAGACAGGGAGGCAGTCAGCGTGCCTCTCTGTGTCCATGGGACATTGGCAAGCAAAAGGCAGACAGAACAGGAGGGGAGATGCCTGGGTTCCCCCAGGAGCTGCTGGAGGAACTCCCCACTGGGTTCCTATGTCTTCCTCAAACCCAAAGACCTTCAGCTCCATGTGACCATCAGCCCAGAACAAGCCTCATATGGCTGCAGGCAGCCTGGGTCATGGCCTCCATCCCCTATCCACGGCCCCCAGGAGAGAACAAGAACATCTCCTTTCTCCCACAGGACCTGGGGACCCCAGCCGTGGTAGCAGTGGAAATGGCTGGACCTGAACAGCCGGCCTGCAGGTGACCTAAGTTTTCAGGCACAGAGCTGGGCCCTGAGGCAGCCCAGTGTTGGTACCCAGGCCCATGACCTCCTGAGGCACAGGAAGGGTTAAGGCCCTGGCATCTCAGGCCAGAACGACTGAAGTTACAGCGAGAAGGGTGTGTGCCTTGGAGAGCGGGACAGAAAGGCGTGGATGACTGGTCCAGGCAGCGTGCCCTCCTCGCTGCCAGGAAGGGACGCCCAGAGTAGGACAGAAAGAATAGCTCAGAGGGGCCTTCAGGAAGCCCCACCCAGCAGGCCCAAGTCTCCACCCACCCTCTGCTTTGCTTCCCCTAACTCCCCACCCCTCCCAATAAAACATGTGTCCTCCCACCTGAGCCAAGTGGCAAAGGAATACAGAAATACACTCAGACGTGTCTGGGCAAGTCACCAGGCCGGGGGAGTCTTGAGCCAGAGGAGTCTTAAAAAAAAAAGAAAGAAAGCAAAGGGGTGGACTTTAGAAATCATGAAATCAGCTGACCAGGAGAGCCCAGAGCCAGCCCAGTTCCTGCTGCAGGCCACTAGGACCTCTTGGTCATAGGTGTGGAACTTTCCCTCCCAGCCCCGCCCACCACAAGGGTTTAGAGACGTAAGCACACACACCCACATCCACACCCACCGGCAGGAGGGGTGCCAGCTCCGAGATGCCATGGCCTGCCAGCCCACAGCTGCCTGCCCCCACCCTGTGGCCAGGCCAACTCCCTTAAGATCCATCGCTCAGACAGACAGATGGCTGCTATGGCCTGTGCCATCACCCTTGCCTTTGGGGACAGAAGTATATTGCAGGGCTGTGAGCTGGTCAGGACGGGCTGGGAGTGCTGATAAGGGGAGAGGAAGCCACCAAAGGGGCCAGTGACACTTGGGGCCAAGCCTGCCTCCTCCTCAAAGCGTCGTCTGTCTTTTCAAACTTCAGAGACTTCACAACCCAAGGCACACAACAGCAGGTGCAGGCACAGAAAGGAGCGAGGCTCGGTCAGCCCTGGCAGGGAGTTCTCCTGACCCCGCTCTGCACACATGCTACTGATCCCTTTTCCCAGTGAAAAGTTCATCTATGGTCTGCACCTGGGTCAGGAGGCAGGGTGCTTGGGGCCGGGCCTGGGCACCAATTCCCCTTGTGTGAGTCATAGCAGGCACTTCCTAGCTCTGAACTCAGTTTTTACATCCATAAATGAGTTATCCTGAACCAAAAAGATCAACATCCACTCCCAGCCTACTAATCCCTGGCTGGTTTTTTTTTTTTTTGAGATTTATTCATATATTCACTTGTAAGATCGAGTGGAGAGAAAGGGGGAGAAAAAGAAAGATCTTCCATCTGCTGGTTCAGTCCCCAAAAAACTACAGGTGCCAGGGCTAAAGCTGCCAGGTGTAGCCCAGGCCAAAGCTGAGAACCGAGAACCCCATACTGGTCTCCTACAGAAGCAGCAGGGACCCAAGCCCTTGGACCATCATCTGCTGCCTTCCTAGGCATATTAGCAGAGAACTGAATCATAAGTTGAGCAGTTGGGACTCAAACCAGCGCTCTGATATGGGGTAGTCCCAAGCAGAGACTTAACCCACTGTGTGACAGTGCCGGCCCCTACCAATCTTTGTGAATGGAAAGCCTAACGGAAGAGAAGGTTTCAGGGTGGAATGACATGACTCCCAAAGGAGCCACCCCAGGGCCACTGCTGCTGACCACTGGCCCATAGGTCATATGCAGAAGCAGAGGCAAGTGCCAGGTTCAGGGAGGCCGTAAGTCCCTGTCTTCCAAACTGTCACCAAGATGCCTGCTGGACACCCCCGGCCCTCTCCGCCTGGGGCTCAGTTACCCCAGAGGCTGCAGAGAGCTCGCTCAGCACTGGAGTGAAGGAAGAAAGGGCGAGGCAGAAAGCCCAGAGACCTGGGCCCCTTCATGACCCTGGGAGAAGGAAGAGACTGGGTTACCAGAACCAGAGAGTACAACGAGAATGGCCTCGCTAGGCATTCCCAGAAGACATCACTGGAGAAGCACAGGCACAGATGCGTCTCCTTCCTGGAACTCCACCTGGCACCAGGGCCTACTTCAAGGCCCTGACAAGTCTCACACTAACAAACCTGTTCAGCATTGTGTAGCTCAAGGTTCTGTCAACCTGCTGTAGCCTGAAACTCTTTTATCAAGGCACCCTATTAATATCCTGTGGGAGACCGGCTGAAGCACCTTTGTTTTACAGGCAGACACAACCTGGAAAATAATTGGCGTCCCAACTCTTCCTATCTCAAGACTGCTCATGGCGGTTATCACACCCCTCTCTCAGGGCCAGCTTAGCACCAGGGTCCTCTGGGGGTCCTTCCACAGTGGACCCACTGCCAAGAGGTGGAGGATATCTCAGCTGGCACCAAACCAAGACGCTGACGTGTTCTGCGTAACGGAGCAAGTCACAATCATCATACACAGCCATACCTCCCCACCCCCCACCCCACCCCCACCCCACCCCCATCACCGGCTTGCCGCAGCCCGGGGAATCCTGGTTTGGCCGAGAACTCAAATCCAAGGGTTGACACATCCTGCCCAGGTCATCCCCTCTGCTGCTCCTGACCAGCAGGCTCCTATGGCTGTCCTTTGGTCGACCAGTCTGTCCCCTGATCCTCATCCTGGGGCACCCAGGGTAAGCTGCTATTGGCGACTGCAGGTGCTTAAGCCTTCACAGCCACAGCCAGGTCAGGAAGCCAAGTCAAGGTGGCTATTACCCTAGCTCATGACGTCAGGGTCTCCCCGACACCCAGCCCCTACCCCCTCATTACCCTCTCTGACATGCCCATTTCCACAAGTGAGGGCCTGCAGTCACTGCCCAAGAAGGACAAACGGTGACAGGGCCCTGGCCAAGGATGTCTTGCCCCTCCTTCCCAAGCTCAGGACCCGCAAGGCAGGGAGCAGCCAGGTAACCAGGAGCATGGCTGGCCATGGCCCCCCACAAAGCAGCGCCACCAAGCTCCTGGCTCCCCTGCTACCAAAGCCAGGCCAAAGGCCCCAGTCTGAAACCAAAGCTCGGCAGTGGGATGAATATTTCAGAGGCCAGAGAACCAGACACGCTAGGGCCCTCTGATGACACTGGGGTGTCACTGGCGACTCTGCCCCTGCCCACCCCACAGTAGCCAGCATGCATGAGTCCAGCCCCACTCACAGAAACCTGACAACCACCACAGCCGGACAGGAAGCAGCAGGGGCCAGCCCTGCTTTTTTCCCCCTCCTCCCCCGCCCCGCCCTCAGCCCCATCCTCTCCCCTACTTCCTTTCTTTTCTCTCTCCCTTTCCCCATTCCTGCCTTGTTTTCCCTCTGACCCTGAGCCAGCTTGGGGTCAGGCCGTACCAGGAGCCACTTCTCCTGCCATGGCCAGGACTGCCAGGTGGATACCCTCACCCACTCCTTGGCTCTTCAGGCACCTACCCACACCACACCTGCTCCAAGGCCCATCGGGCTGGCTTCCCTCCCTCCTCGCACCAGCTGAAGGCTAAGACAGCTCTCACCCCACTCACAGCTGGCGTCTGTGCGTGCGTCTGCCAGGCTAGACCCGCCCTGGAGCTGCTGGTGCCAGAAGATAGGGACGCGAGGACACCCCACCAGCAGCAGCAGCCGGCCCCAGACTCCCCGCCGTTTTCCGAGTGCCCACAACGCACTGCTCAGCGAACCGGGCAGGTGTCCACGACCAGCCTGGGCCCAGGGAAAGCGAAACTCCAGCGGTCAGGCATGCTGGCGCCGATCCTAGGGCAGGAACGGCCGGCCCGAAGCTAACTGGGGAACTGGCGCGTTCCGAGAAAGTTTGGGGACTCCAGTCCCGGCGCCTCCCCGTTCCGCACTCGGCCCTCACCGGCCCAGCGCCCCGCCTCCGCCCACAGGGACCCCCAAAGGCTTGCCTGCGCCGCTCCGACGGTGAGTTCCGCGGCTCCGGGTGCTGCGAGTGCTGGGCGGCCAAGCAGGCTGGGCTGGGCAGGGGCAGCGCGCCCCGCCCCGACGCGTCGGCCCCTCGGCGGGGCGGAGCCTCGGGGCGCCGCCAGGGGGCGCCCTGCCCCCGCCGGCCCGAGAGAACCCCGGGGGGTGGTAGCGCACCGCTTTAAAGGCTACGTGCAACAACCTAGCCGTAAAAAAAAAAAAAAAAATCCGAGTTAAGGAAGAAAATAACTTCTTCCACATACGCACCGTGCCCCAATTCCCAGGGGCGCAGCTCGCTTTGGGTGCTCCTTAGCGGATAATGTGTGTTACTCGTTTTCTGTTGGCAACGCCCGCGTCGCCGCGAACCCCGAGCCGAAAGGAGGCACTAGGGTTACAAAAAGACAACACACAGTGGGTCATTCTTGTAAAGAGAATGCCGTTTATTCGAGGTTAGCCTGCCTTTTATGGTCTGCCTAGTTCCTCCCAATATTTTCCCAATGCTCAAGCAACTCCTAAGCTCCCCTGGGGGCATGTTAAAAAAGGGGAAGCAAGGAAGAGGGAACTTGGGGTCAAGCAAGGGGCTAACGTGCCAAGATTGCCCATCCTGTTACACCTTGAGAAACAAGCTAAGCTGTGGAGTTAAACCTTGGGAGACCAAGCCGTGCAATTTTCCAGAGCTGTGTGTGGCAAATTTTCTCCTTTTATTTTTGCTTAAAACATAATTAGTCTTAAAAAGTATAGTCTTCTTTTTAAACAAAAGATTTATTTACTTAAGAGACAAGCGAGAGAGAGCGAGAGCGAGAGAGAGAATGTTTCATGCACTGATTCACTTCCCAGGGAGGAGTCAGGAGCCTGGAATTTAATCTTCCTGCCTGGTCGAGGGGGAGGGGCTTACCAGGGACCCGAGCGCTGGAGCCCGTGGCCTGCTGCTTCCCAGGTGTGCGTTAGCAGTGTTGTAGGGAATTCGACGTGAATGCAACAACCTCGTTTATTGTCTCACACGAAATAATTTTCATACGGACAGTTCCAGTTTGCAGAGAGTTTAAAAGAGGGAAAGTGGCTCCTGCCACAGTGGCAGGAGGGGGACCCAAGGAAGAAAAGACCAAAAAAAAAAAAAAAAAGCGAGGTAAAGCTGAAAATGGTGTTTTTAATGCCCCATCTCAGGGGAGCTACCTACAGGACAAGAAAAAAAAGGTCGCTCATAATAAACCTGATCTAGAATCAAAGGACCTCAGAAGGGTGGGACTGGTTAACCTTTTCCTCCCATTCTGATGATAAACAAGTACTATCTCTTTGATGGTGATCCAGAGATGAGATTAGGTGGGGCAAGATTCCTTGCTTTCAAGGAGAGACCAGGCTCTTGAGAAGTTAGCAAATGGGGCCTAAGCTAAAGTCCTGGCCTTGCATTCCCCAGGATCCCAGTTCTAATCCCAGCAGCCCTGCTTCCCATCCAGCTCCCTACTTACGACCTGGGAAGGTAGTAAAGGATGGGCCAAAGCCCTCGGGACCCTGTACCCACGTGGAAGACCCAGAACA